AGCAACTGGATCATAAAATCTCTCAATTAAAGAAATTATAGTGCTTTTTCCAGACCCTGAAACTCCCACCACAGCTACAGTTTGTCCTCCATTAACTTTGAGACTGAAATTGCTCAATACCAACACTTCTGGGCGAGTTGGATAACAGAAATCCACATTCTTCAACTCAATGCTTCCATAAACATTTGGAGGCTTCAGTGCTGAGTTATCATCTGGGTCAATCTTTGGTTCTCGATCTATAATTTCAAATACTGAAATAAGAGATTTTCGCCGCTTAAGTATGTATGGAGCCAATCCAAAAGGTTCCACCAGTGCAAATGTTGCAAAAGAGAAAACCATATACTCCTTGAGAGCTGTATGAAGATCAACATGGAGATTCTTTTCAGAGTATGCAGTGTACCAGAGAAGAAGGGCATTACAGGCAAAAAGAAGAAACTGTGAGAAGCCAAATCCAAAACCAATGGCCATTCCGTGGACAAAACTCTGCTTAAATATTTTCTTCAGTTGCAATCTGTAGAGCTCCATTACTTTGTTACCAGCACAGAATGCCACAACAGTATAAATGTTTCTAACAGCATCCTCAAGGACCAGTGATGCCTTTCTGTGCATCTCCTGGATGCCCCTAGAAAATCCAGCAAGCCACAACTTCTGCAATTTTTAAGTTGGCAGCCGTTCAGGACTTTGGCACAGCAAACTATAAACAATGTAGTGTTTATGATTCAACTGTTAAAAATGGAAAATGACTGATGGAATTAAGGGGCAATTTGAAAGTAGTCAGATTTGCAAGATAGCAAATCTGTGTGCGCTTGTGGAACTAGTAAGATCATAGAATGTGCCAATAGAACTAGTATAAATTTGAACATCGGTCTTAGATCCTTAGTGCCAAATCCAACAGAAAATTAAAACATAAGCAAGATATTGTAGGGCAAAGAATGCAACAATCTAAAAGGTAGCATTCACTTTTCACTGGTTGGCACAATCATTGCCACATGGCTGATGTTTGATGGTTAACGGCTTACTAATCCAAAGAAAAGAATAATAGAGGGAACTGACTGAAGTATGACATCAAAGAAGCTCATAGAAACATTAATTACAACATGATCTGTTTTATTCAAACATGTGATTTATATGAATCAGATCAAACATTATGGAACACTTCGACTGATAATAAAATGATGTCAGGTTAAAAATCACGCAGAAAGTATGCAAACCTGTGCAACTGCAGAGACAGTGAGAACTGGCAGGGTTGCCAATGCCACAAGAGCCAATCGCCACTGAAGCAGCATCCCAATGACAACAGCCACAATAACTGCAGCACTGTCCTGTATAAATATTGAAAGTCGATTGCTGAATGCAGCTCGTACGAAAGTAGCATCATTTGCCAAGCGCATGGATAATGTGTCAGCACTATTATCCTCTTCATCAAACCATCCAACTTCATTCCGTAGCATTGCTGTGAGATGATGGCCCTTAATAAGTTAATACTATATATACAGAACTCTGTGGAATCATGAAACTTTGAGTCGGGTGTGACACCGGACATTGTATTCTAAATGAAACTAACAGAGATATTAACGCATTTTACCTGAAAACATCATTCTGCGGACTCGTTCAGTCATTTTCTCTCCCATGATGCCAAAATAGAAGTGCTGCAAGAAATTGGCAACAACAGTCACTATACCCATGATGGCAATCATCAAGCACCACCTGTCTACATCCTGTCGCAAGTGGCGTTGTTGTCTATAATAAGCAGTCACTATCAGTGAAATAACATAAGCAAGAAGTGGATTGAAAGAACCAAAAATAGCAGCACCAATGCTTCCTAACACAGCATAAAGCCACTCTGCAAGACTAAGCTCTGCTAGTCTCCAAAATGGTGGTTCTTTCTGATGTTTTACATCCCTAGCTTCCTTCACTTCAATTGGAACATCATCAGAGTGACTGTGGGGTCGACTAAAAGTCTGAGAGTGGGAACGCTCATTTTTAGGATCAGATGTCAAAAGTGGAGAAACAGGGGATTCAGGGCCTGAACCATTTGATGTATGTCGATTTGCAGACTGGACATCAATCTTGGGTAACTCAGGGAGTCTCATTTCAAAACTATCCTGCCTTCTTATCGATGGTTCCTTATCAGCACCATCCAAGGGAAGACCATTTTCTATCATCTTCTCTGGTGGTGGGCTGAGAACTTTTGGTGATTCTTGTGAATTAAACATGCCATCTGGAGGCCGAAATATACCAGGGACCCTCTGAAGCGATGGTGACTTTGCCATTTTAGGAGAGGATGGTTCTTGATAGCTATGGCCAGTAGAAGAATCCTTTTCAACTTGGAAAGCAGCAGTCTCTGTGTAGTTTCTAACTGGCATCCTGTATAAAGGTGCATGTGTCAGAAACATGAACTGCAGTGGCATAATGGCATGCAATATTACTGTTTAGGAAACTTATAATTCAAGCATTATAATTCAACCAACAGAAGTTACACCATTTATAAATGAAAATTTCACTATACTAGCAAAGCATAGTTGTCCTCATACTATACCTCCTTGGAAGTTTTGCTGCTTCTTCACATTTGAGAAGCTCTGCATACAGACCATCCAAGGTTAATAATTCGTCGTGTGTACCCATTTCAACAAGCTGGCCCTCCTCCATTACAGCTATATAATCAGCATTCCTGATTAGACTAAGACGTCTAGCTATTATGATGGTTGAACGTCCCAACATGAGAAGATCTAGTGCCTCTTGAACTGCTCTCTCAGCTTCAAAATCAAGTCCACCAGTAACCTCATCAAGCAGAAGAATTGTTGGATTCAAAAGCACTGCTCTGGCGATAGAAAGTTTAATTTTCTGCTCCTCTGTCAATGCTAAACCAGCCCTGCCCACCTGAAATGTATAGTGGTTACTTTCCAGAACGATAAAAAAGAGAAAAGCAATAGATAAACAAGTCTGAATAGGTATTCTGTCCTTGAAATATTACCTGTGTCTCATAGCCTTTCTCAAGTGAACTGATAAATGTATGTGCATGTGCTATTTTGGCAGCTTCTTCAATCTGATCCAAAGTAGCATCTCGTCCATATGAAATGTTATCAATTATACTCAAACTTAACAAGGCAGGTTCCTGGGTGACCAGTCCTACTTGGCTTCTAAGCCATTCCAGTTTCAGGTTTTTTATGTTCTCTCCATCAAGAAGAACTTCTCCTGAATGAACAGACCAGAACTATTGGAATCCACATGTGGACATGGCAAAGGAAATTCAATGAAATAGCATTAGTTCAAAAGGCAACATAAAAATAAAATGGCCATAGTACCTAAGGTAGGATCGTAAAAGCGCTCCATGAGTGGGATAATGCTGCTTTTTCCAGAACCATTTCTGCCAACAAGAGCCACTGCTTTTTTAGCTGGTACAGTGAGGTAAAATCCACTCAAGATGGGGATCTCAGGACGAGATAGATAGCTAAAATAAACATTCCGAAACTCGATATTTCCTTGCACTGCCACTAGGCTGTCTCCATCCTGATTAACTGTGGAGGATGATCTACTTATCATCTCAAAAAGTCTATAGGCAGCGATCCGTCCTTGATCAAATGAATAGAAATTGGTTGCAGCTTGATTCAGCCCACTGTAAACACAAGAAAGCAGATAATAAAACCATAAAAATATGTTTACAGCACTGAGAAAGAGGACAATAAGACACTTACAGGCCACTTAAAATGACAGCAAAGAGGGCTGTTACTATTTCACCACCATGAGCTTTATGATCTGTAACCAGAAACCTTCCAACCCAAAGTTGCAAGGCACAAGAACATATTGCAAGGCCATATGTAAAACCAAGGCCAAGTCCTTGAACAAGGCTAATCAAAATACCATATCTCAAAGTTGCTTGTAGTGACGTTGCATATGAATATTTGGCCAGAGTTTCGTTTGTGAACGCATATAAGGTCCTAGTGTAAGAGAGTGCCTGCAAAGTTTATAAAATTACTAGTATTCAGTATCAATAGCATGTGACAATCCACCAGAATAATGGTATGACATGAAAATGTTAAACTTATGGTATTTGAACTTTCTATAAGAAGGTATAATGTAAAAAAGTAATGCACCTACATTGCATGGGCACATGCTGATACTACAAAGCCCAGACAGACAGGCATGTGTTTTCAATTCATGCATAACTGAAAAATCGGTTCAGTACTTGATGAGCCTCTCAAATCCTGGAGCTGAAACAGTTTGACTACACCTCGATAATTGGTCTATCCAAAAGTAAATCTAAATTAAAGGTATAGATAGCCAACATTAACAAAAACAGAAATACAAATTAAAGAAGTATTTCAGAGGTATATTCAGTTTAATAAGAACCCTCTTTGAGTAAATCATCAAAAAAAGATATTAACAGCATTAAGAGTACAGTGCCAGAAACACATATCTTCATTTACCAGACATATCCCCATGGAAATATAGCTCCTTTCATTTCTAATTTTCAGGATTATGGTTCTACTCAATTGCATTGAAATCAAAAAATTATAAGTAATTACAGGGCCCACCATGGTGAATAATAGAAACATGAATCTTCACGTGATTGTGTTATACAGGTATAAGAGAGGGGAAAAAACCTGTTCAGCAATGCTAGCTGCTTCAGCATATGCATCTTGAATGCTCTCAGCAAGCCTATGAAGAAATATATTTGAGATACCTCCTGCAGCAACAATGAATGGGCCAGTAGCTAAAGTTATGAGTGCAATCTGCCAGGAGTTGACAAATCCAATAACAAGACCACTAAAAAACGTAGCCATGTTATGAATATAATTTCCAACCTGCATCATCAAGGTCCCCTCGCATCAGGTTACAGAAAACATTTGCACAGAATAGAAGTAGAGGGGAGAAGCAATAGATTTAGCACTAAAATACCTTTTCACTCAAGGCAGATTGAATGAGGAGCACATCACTCAAAACTTGGCTAACAATATCCCCGTTATTCCCATAGGTGTCAAAAAAGCTCATGTCCTGATTGAGTAATACTTGAACATACTTCGACCTGATGACCGCAGTCTGTCGTTCCCCAGTTAGAATCCAGCAGGAAACCTCTATTACAGATAACAAGTTAGAATTGATGTCTCTAAAGATGCCATTGTTTTAGAGCTAAAAGCAAAAATAGAATAAACTAATATGATGAATGTGAACTTTACCAATCCAACCAGCAGCAAAAACACCCACAGCTAGGTATACAATGTGCATGGCAAGCTGCAGAAAAAGCACACCATGGCTAAATCAAATAGCTCAAAAAAACCCCTCCCCCCAGGAAGCCAACATGCTAGAACCAGTAAATCAGTCAGAAATGATTAAAGCCTTCACATTGGACATATATACAAAAAATGAAGTTCTAACTAGCCTGCGTTCATGAACACATTCAGTTACATCTCTGACTGTTAGATATCAGACTCCTTGAAGACCAAGTTTTCAGATATGGTGACAGTTCATATCCAAGCTTCGACAATATGAACAATCCAAACTGGGGGGGGGTGTCAAGGGGTATATAGTGCACTTAGTTGCCTTATCTTCCATCTGAACTACCGGTACTCCTTTACTAATTACAAAAAGAACAGGAACAAAAAGAGGGAGAGAGACTAAGCATGTGTTACTAAAATTCTTTATCAGTGTAGAATAATTTGATTTGAAATTAACATGGAATACCATGGTAAACTACAATTAGACTATATTTTCAGTTGCTTTACACAAAATTTACAATATTAAGAATAATAAACTGTAGTTGCTTCCTAAGCAGAACTCTCTATTATTGTCTCCAGCGGCATAACATAGCAATTGAAACTTTCTCAAAATAGAACAAATTACAACCATAATTAACCAAACCCCGCAAACCTAAATCAAATAAATAAACTTGTCAGCTTCAGATAGGTAACTTTTGCAGTTGCTGATAAATCCTCACTATTAGCTAAAATCACCTAACAACCTCGTCAAAGTAACAAATTTTGAATCATTCTTTACCAAAACCTTCAAAAATTCCAAAAAGTTAGGATTTGCAAAAATGACTCACATGAGAAAACCTGTCAAATCGCTCCCCCGGCGGAATCCCCAAAACCCCAATAATCTTCCCAAAGAAATGCAGGTAAACAACAAGAGCGGTCCCATGCGCAGCAGCTGCAAGCGAACCAACGATCATGAGCCCCCAATCTAACCTATCAGCACAAGCAAACAACCTCGAGAACGGAACAGCAGCCGGCGGCGGCTCCATCTCCTCAGCCTCGTCGATCTCCTCCTCCGCTTCCGCCTGATTGGCAGCCGAGGCCGCCTCCGCGCTGGTATCTAAGTAAGGAGAAGGACTCTCCGGCGGCTCGGAAACCTCCGATACCGGCGTCAATGGTTGTATATGAGGTGGGGACCATCCGAATAATCCCCTGGAGATCATCATCTTGGGAGAGCAACTATCTGTTTCTTCTGTCTTTGAAAAGCCCTAATTGATCCTCTTTACCTCCAAGTTTAGCAGCAGATCTGTGCTAAATTTAGAGGCCAAATTTCGATTTTGTGTGTTCTTTTGAGGAGCAGAAAAATAAAAATAAAAATGGGAGCCCTTTTCTTTTAATTTTGGGTGACTGGATCAAATCAACAGGCACATTTTTAGAGAGAGAGAGAGAATAAAATGCTGGCTCTCACCAACTGAGGTACCCAACTGGAAATGCTTGTCAGAAAGAAAATGCTTTTACTATTGCTCAGTTCTTTTTTTATTTTATTTTTGCATGTCGTGATTTCTGTTTGGTTAACCGTCACCAGGCGGCTATGTTTCGAGGACAACAACGATAAACTACTACGGATCTCTCTGGGGTTTTCGGCGTTTAAACTTATGAAATTGTTTTTCTTTTGACCAAGTTAATGTTTTTTGTGTTTGTCGTTTTTAGAGGCAATCATGTGTTAGTATGTTCGAGTTAATAAATCTCGTATTACATTATTGATTCTCGGATTATAATGTTGATTAGCATAACTTTTATGCGAAGTTATTACAGGATTAATCATGTTTTCTTTACATAAACCATTCAAATAAAATCTTCTATTTACAGTATTGAAATAAAATCTTTTTGTGTTTTATTAGTTTTTATATTTTTAAAATATTAATATCAAAAATAATTTTTAAAAATAAATAATATTATTTGAATATATTTAAAAAAATTTAAAGAATGATTATTGCCAAGCTAATCCAGCCAGACCACCCATGTCAGATATTATACGAGTATTGATTCGTGGTATAAGTGCATGGATACTGTATAGCAGGTGTGTTTTGCAGGGGTATTTTTGGGAATTGAAACCAGATATTTTGAGTTGGATACTGTTGAACGCAGCGGAAATGAGCTGCTGAGAAGGTGACACGATGGGAAAATGGTAGAGCGGTTGGTGAGATTAGCGTGGCTTTGCAAATAAAGAAAAAGGGTTAATGACAGTAGCACAGCAGCATGGCCAGTGGGAAGAGTGGGAGTGTGAGCAGCAGGCATCATTGGTCGTTGAGGGATGGCGGGTTGGGTTGTTGCACGGAAAGCTTTTTTCTGGCATTTTCTTTGTTCCATTGAGGCCTTTCTTTTCCTCTTTTCAAATTTCTTGGTTGTGTTTTGATTTCGATGCGACTTTCTCTTCAATGATAATACCAAATGGATAAGATGTTAATTTTAAAACGAACAGGTTCATAGGGTATATAACAGGGGAAAATGATACTAAATAAAAGGTTTTTCGGGTTAATGTTTTGTAAAAAAAAAAATCAGGTTTAGTTAAATAAATATAAATATAAAATAAATTTATTTTTTAAATTTAAGGTATAAGAAATACATGTTCTTTCCTCCCTCGCTAATTTCATTTTTTTTATATAGTGATAATTCATAAAATATAAGATATTTGTGAATAAATTTGACATGTTAAATAATTAGTTTAATATTTTAATTTAAATAATCTGAAGTGTTTTTCATAGTTAATATATTTGATAATTTTAATATAAAAAACTAATGAGATTGATATCTAATAGTATGTGGTATTTGGTAAATCAAGATGTTCGGTGATTGTGATAATAATGAGTAATGTCTGATAATTCAGACAATTGATAATTGTAATTTGTAAAAGATTTTATTTGATAAATATAATTTTTTTTAATTATAAAGTCAATAACTTTATAAAGAGAAAAAATAAAATTGTATTTATAAGATATGTATTCTAAAAACATATATATTAGAAATATCAAGAATTAAAAAGACTATGAAACTTTAACTTAAAAGTTTTATAATGTATTTATAGCTAATGAATCTTGTTATTTTATGAAGAGAATAGATTAAAATATAATCTTACCATTATAATATTTTAAACTATATTATACTCAAAATAAAAATTAATATAAAATATCAAAAAATCCATGTAAAATTATGAAAAAAAATTTATGAGTAATGAACTCAAACCAGTGAAAAATGAATCTGAGTACGTTATTTGAATTCAAACATGCTCGGCTCAAGATTTGCTCCTAAGCCTGTAAAAATACTGGGATATATGTCTAACATAGGCCCAAATTACCATGCTCGAGCTCACTCTCATCAGCCCTGGCCTTGAAGCTCGAGTTCAAGTGGTATTTTTGATTTATCTCGAGGGAGTTCTTTAAGTATATTTGAAGGGGTTATTTTTTATTTATCTTGTTTAGATCCACAGTAGAGATAATAATCAAATGCCAGCATTATTTTGTGTACAATACAAGGTCATCAATTATGGTTAAGTTTTAGGGTAGCTACAATGTTTAACATTAATTGATAATAGCTTTGCTTTTAAGGCCACACAATCAGTTGAGAGATTGATAATTGGATTTCAATTCATGTCTCCCTTGATTTGAAAGGGCACTTAATTTGAATCATTGAATATTTTTGCTACTTGGATTGCACTGGACGGAGAAAATTAAATCCATATACTCTGACGAGCGCAGCTCTTATTAATCCAGGATAATTGTTTGTCCCACGCATAGGCATGGTAGCTCTTTACATGCAGATTTTGTGTGTAATTTGACGGGATGGATCGAGCTAATTCTCTAACAGAGCCGTCTGTGTCAGAAAGGAGCCTCCATGAGACAAGAGGGCCAAGGCTAAAACGAGGCCGCTTTGCATGACAGTGAAGTGAAGTTGCGGCAAAAGGCTGGTGATGGAGGGATGACATTATCATATCAGGAAAATGATGGGCGAGGCTAGCTGCAGGAAGGAATATAAAATAAATTTATTTTTAAAATAATACTGAGATTTTAATATTTTTAAAATATAAAGTATAAGAAATACATGTTCTTTCCTCCCTCGCTAATTTCATTTTTTTTATATAGTGGTAATTCATAAAATACAAGATATTTGTGAATAAATTTGATATGTTAAATAATTAGTTTAATATTTTAATTTAAATAATATGATGTGTTTTTTATAATCAATATATTTGATAATTTTAATATAACAAGCTTGTGAGATTGGTACCTGATAGTATGTAATATTTGGTAAATCAAGATGTTCGGTGGCTGTGATAGTAATAAGTAGTGCCTAATAATTTAAACAATTAATAATTGAAGTAAAAGATTTTATTTGATAGATATAGAAACTCTTCAATGATAAAATCAATACTTTATAAAGAAAAAAAATAAAATGATATTTATAAGATATATACTCTAAAAATATATATGCTAAAAATATCAAGAATTAAGAAAACTATGAAACTTTAACTTAAAAGTTTTATAATATATTTATAATTAATGAATCTTGTCATTTTATGAAGAAAATAGATTAAAATATAATTTTACCATTATGATATTTTAAATTGTATTATATTTAAAATAAAAATCAATATAAAATATCAAAGTAGCCATGTAAAATTATGAAAAAAAAATTATGAACAATAAAGTCAGACCTATTAGAAGTGAGAAATGAATTTAAATACGCTATTTAAATCCAAACATGTCAAACTCAAGATGTACTCCTATATTTATAAAAGTACTAGGATATGTGTCCAACATAGGCCAGATTACCACGCCCGAGCTCACTCTCATCAGCCTTGGCCTTGAAACTCGAGCTCAAGTGGTATTTTTGATTTATCTCAAGGGAGTTCTTTAGGTATATTTGGAGGGGGTATTTTTGATTTATCTTGTTTGGATCCACAGTAGAGATAATAATCAAATGCCAGCATTATTTTGTGTACAATACAAGGTCATCAATTATGGTTAAGTTTTAGGGTAGCTACAATGTTTAACATTAATTGATAATAGCTTTGCTTTTAAGGCCACACAATTAGTTGAGAGATTGATAATTGGATTTCAATTCATGTCTCCCTTGATTTGAAAGGGCACTTAATTTGAATCATTGAATGTTTTTGCTACTTGGATTGCACTGGACGGAGAAAATTAAATCCATGTACTCTGACGAGCGCAGCTCTTATTAATCCAGGATAATTGTTTGTCCCACGCATAGGCATGGTAGCTCTTTACATGCAGATTTTGTGTGTAATTTGACGGGATGGATCGAGCTAATTCTCTTACAGAGCCGTCTGGTCAGAAAGGAGCATCCATGAGACAAGAGGGCCAAGGCTAAAACGAGGCCGCTTTGCATGACAGTGAAGTGAAGTTGCGGCAAAAGGCTGGTGATGGAGGGATGACATTATCATATAAGGCTGTTGATGGAGGGATGACATTATCATATCAGGAAAATGACGGGCGAGGCTAGCTGCTGCAGGAAGCGGAAGGGGGAGGTGGAGGGGATTTGACGGGGTGATTATGCTCCAAGCATAAAAGTGAAATCTCAGCATCACTGATGGATTGGAATTGTTGCTTCGATTAAAACGCAAATTTGGCATTGAGTGGTTGAAAGATACCGCAGCTTTTTTCTCTCCGTAAATTGCTGTGGTCTTCGTTGATATCTATCTGGGCCTGCTGAAGCCGTTTGATACTTCTTTGCAGTTCTGCTATTTAGAGGTTTCCTGCTGTTTGATCTTTAGAAAATAAATAAATTGATGTTTTTTCATGTGTTTTTTTTTATGACTTTAATGTTTTAGTATTAATAAATAAGTTTTTCCTCCGATGCGATTAGGCGATGTAAGCTGGATTCATCTTTTCAATTCGATAAGCATAGATCTTTTATGTTAAAATTCTGAAACTTCACAATTTTTTTAAAGTTAGTATGTTCCATTTTTTCCGTGGCGTTCAAACTCAGTGCTATGTCCAAGACATGTTTTTAATACATGTTTAATATTATTATATATGTGTTTTTTAAAATTATTTTCGTTATTTATTAAAATATATTTTTAATATATATATATATTAATTTTTAATACTATTATATTTAAATCATTAAAAAAATATTAAATTAATATTCTAAAACTAAATTTATTTTTAAAATACACTTACACACACCATTCTAGCAAAATATATCTTTACTATCAAGGGTGAGTTTAGAAATGCATGCTAATTCATATTTTTAATAGTATTAATTTTTTTTATAGTTTTTGATATGTTGATTTTAAAAATAATTTTTTTAAAAAAAATTAATGTATTTTAACATGAAAAATACTTTAAAAATAATTACAATTATATTTTTAAACATATCTAAATTTTTTTTAGCAATGATTGTAAATAAATAAATAAATTAAGATGAAATGATTGATAATATAGTATGTTTTTCCAAACTCGATTCAGATTGGTGATGATATTGTTATCACATTATTATTCAAGTTTTAATCAAAAAGACTGCAAGAAAAAAAAAACCCATGGATCGTATAAATCTGGACGAGGATAATTTATTGATGGAGAGTACTGGAAGGATTAAAAAATGGATGGTTCAACGCTTATTTTTTACTTTTAACTAAAATAACGTTATAAATATATCTGGAAATACATACATGTTAAACTAAATAAAAAACTTGTAAGAAAATTGAATCGAAATTTGGATAAAAAATATTTTACATGTTAAAAGTTTATAAATTCGAGAAACATGAGATAAAAAAAAGAAAACATATAATATCCTAATTGAAAAAACAAGATAATTAATACGACTGAGGAATGCATGCTTTATTAAGACTTTCTTAAGACTTTAAGAAGTCAATTGAAACACCAAAAAATCCAATTGGCTAGTTTAATAGGTGGAAGAGAAGAATTGAAACTTTGATAAAGGTTCAGGGGAGTAATTGATATAACACAAAATAACGGGGAGGAAATCGAGAAAACCTCAAATGTTAGGGGGGAAAATCGAAATTTACCCATACAAAGTCCATTCCTCTATTAAAAAAATATTAAATTAATATTTTAAAACACACTTGCATACACCACTCTACACGATATGTTTTTATTATCAAGATCATGTTTGGAAATACAGGTCAACTTATATTTTTAATTATTTTAATTTTTTTATTATTTTTTTTATGTTTTGAATTATTTTAATATATTAATATTAAAAATAATTTTTTAAAAATAAAAAATTATTTAAATATATTTCAGCATAAAAAATATTTTAAAAAATAACTATAATTATATTTTCAAACAAACTCAAATTTATCAACCATTAAGCAGAAAAAAAAATGGAATTAAGATGATATCATTGATAACAAGGTCCGTTTTTCCAAACTTGATTTAGATTGGTGATGAGATTGTTGTCACGTTATTATTCAAGTTTTAATCCACAAAAATTGCAAGCAAAAAAAATCCATGGATCACATAAATCTGGACGAGGATAATTTATTGATGGAGAGTGTTAGAAGTATAAATAAATGGCTAGTTCAACACTTATTTTTTACTTTTAACTAAAATAATGTTATAAATATATCTGGAAATACCTACATTACATACATGTTAAACTAAATAAAAAACTTGTAAGAAAATTGAATCGAAATTTGGATAAAAAATATTTTACATGTTAAAAGTTTATAAATTCGAGAAACATGAGATAAAAAAAGAAAACATATAATATCCTAATTGAAAAAACAAGATAATTAATACGACTGAGGAATGCATGCTTTATTAAGACTTTCTTAAGACTTTAAGAAGTCAATTGAAACACCAAAAAATCCAATTGGCTAGTTTAATAGGTGGAAGAGAAGAATTGAAACTTTGATAAAGGTTCAGGGGAGTAATTGATATAACACAAAATAACAGGGAGGCAATCGAGAAAACCTCAAATGTCAGGGGGGAAAATCAAAATTTACCCATACAAAGTCCATTCCTCTCAATTCCCAACTCCGAAGAAACGACCTTTACAGGTGGGCCGATGGCCGTAAGGACCCGCGCCAAAGTCCAAAGGCAAACTAATAACGGATAAGCAGCGGGAGAGCTCGAAAGAAGATAAGCTCTCCACCACAAAAAACAAATCTTAGAAGACCAGAGGACAAGAGACTCTCTTGTTCTCTCGACACCTTTCTCACACACAACAGCAATGGCTTCTTTACAAAACTCACCCTCAGTTCATCATACATTATCTCCATATTCTCTCCCTCAGGTCCTCCCTTTCTCTGACTCTCTCTACATTAGCAATACATGTCGGTGTGAATGTTTGAATTTCATTAGAAAAACAGATGTCACATTATGGGTTTCCCGTTTATGTGTACAGGTCGGAGGAGCACAAAAGAATCATGGAATGTTGTCTTTCTGTAGAAGAGGCCTTTCTTTTCTTGTTAGGGCCGAGCAATCATCACCAAATTCAACTTCTCTTTCTCAAGGTGAGTTTTCTTCTCTTTTCTTTTTCATTTTTTTTCAATTTATTTGCTAAAATTTATGTACAATGAACAATGTCTATGCACCTGGCCTATTTAAAGTTACTGCGAGTTGCAATTCTGATGGATTTGCTAGAGCATTTCTTGCTTGAAATTCAGCGGTTACTGAAAAAATGAAACTAGAATGTCATTATACAAGGAAATCGCTGAACTTGTAGTGAAATTATGGGGAATGCTGTTCCTGTGAAAATCTCTTCTGGCAATTTGGTTACGAGGAGAGAAATACTGTGCTAAATTCTATGTGATAATTACAAATAAATTATTCTGTCAAAATTTTCTTGATTTGATCTGTACCTGCTAAATATCAATTAAAGGAATGCAGTTGTCCACACACACCAAAAAAATAAAATAAAATTTCAAGACAGAGTGATGTATGTTTAGCCACTATTAGATTACTGGATATAAGGGAAAAGCCATACTTTTTAGATGTTTCTTTAAGTTCAAGGAAGCAGTATCGAAGAAACGTTCTCTGTGTTTTGGTTTGTTTAATTGAACTCTCATTTCATGCAGTTAGATTTGGGAGACGTGAATTGATAGCAGTGAGTGTCATTGCTCCTTGGGTATCCATGGTTAACCAAACTTCTCCATCATGTAAGCAACCATTTTTTGGATGTTTTCGACGTTGTTCTTGCCAGCTAATGCAGTTTAGCATAGAAATAAACTCATTTAGAATGAACTTTGTAAGTTTCTTATAACACCATGTTTGCTGATATCCTAAGAGGACACCCTTGATATGGTTCAGTTGCTGCAGAAACTAAAAAGGGATTTCTTTTAGTCACGGACAAGAAGGATGGATACTCATTTCTCTACCCATTTGGGTGGCAGGTATGGTTTCCTAAAGTTTTTATTCTCTGTTCCCCTTCTCATGTTCATAACTCATGCACTCTTCTCTTTAGTTGATCGAACTGCTAGCCACACGCAACAAATACTTGATACAACATTTTCAGATTGGTTTTTCAATTTTTCTCTGTCGGCTGTGGCAGGAAGTTGTCATCGAAGGACAGGATAAGGTCTTCAAAGATGTCATCGAGCCATTAGAAAGTATCAGTGTGAATGTGATCCCCACTGTCAAACAAGATATTCGAGACTTTGGACCTCCACAACAGGTTTCCCATATATACTTTACAACCCAATTTTTTTATTACAGAGGCGGGAACCTTATTTCCCATTTGTGCTCTCGCTCCAGTTTATAATTTTAGCTCATATCTCTAAGTGATGGAGGATGCTAATGCTCACCGTGCATTTATCTCAGGTTGCTGAAACATTGATAAAAAAGGTTTTGGCCCCTCCTTCACAGAAAACAAAACTAATTGAGGCAAAAGAGGTTTGATTTCTTGTGTCTTCTAGTTTGATTCTACCAGAATTCATACATACTTTTACTATTTCAACGCTGTTTAGCAGCATGTTTTCATTACAAGTAATTGGGGCAGTTCAATTATGTATAATGTTCCTTGTACTATTCAAATGTATCTCCCTTTGAGTAGCTAAACAGATGATCGTTTAATTTAGGCTTACGTAAATTTACAATTAAGGTTTTGCTGATAAAAGAACAGTTGAATGATATTATTGTGCGTTTATGGTGCAGCACGGTGCTGATGGGAAAATTTATTACACATTTGAGTTCGTTGCTCAGGCACCAAATTTTACGCGCCATGCTCTTAGTGCAATCGCTATTGGCAATGGTATGGAATGTATATTTTACTATTTTACTGAGAAATGGATTGTGTAATCTCTGGCACCCATCCCATTATTCAAAGCTCACTCCTTTCGTTCCAGAATGATTTCATGAAAACAAATTTGATTCCAGATAATTATCATTAGTTCATTACTTGGGATTATTGATTCAGGGACTGAGACAGAGCCCTCATGCTTCACTGATTAATGAGACATGTTTCAGCCATTTAAAAAAGAAATTGAGCAATGCTTGTGTTCCTGGAAATTTCATGGCAGGTAAATTCTACACTTTGACAACGGGAGCCAATGAACGAAGGTGGGAGAAGATGAAGGATAAATTGCAGACGGTCATTGATTCCTTCGAAATTTTCAATGTTTGATGTCGTTGTTCAGTTTTCACTTTTCACTTTTCCTGCTTAGGAACAACCCTCTCTTAAGAGTTGTACGAGGCACGTTTCTTATCATCATGTATTCCTCCCCATTTCCCTTCTTTCTTCTTTCTTCTCCTTTTCCCTTTTCTGTTGTAGAGGAACCCCCCATTTCCCTTCTTTCTTCTCGTTCACCCTTTCCTGTTGTAGAGGAACATCTGATATACGAAGTTCTATGGGTCTTGATCTGAAAATAAATCTTTTTTTTAGGGGTGAGAAAAAAACCAAAAAAACAACTAAACTGAAAAAACTAGAAAAAAAATAACTAAAAAAATCGAACCATGAAAAAAAAATCATTAAACCATTTAGAATTTTTTTAAAATTGATTAGTTTGGTTTGATTTTGATTTGATAAACCTGAAATTAAAAAATCAAATTGGACCCAACTTGTTCAATTAAAAAAACAATATTATAAAAGCTTTTTCTAAAATTTTAACCTTAGCATCCCCCTCCTTCCGCATCCAGTAGCCCCTCTAAAAGCTCTTATAAGTAAAAACTCTCAAATCTCAATCTCTCACACTCTCAACCTAATAAAAAATAAATTCTTCATCACTTTATAAAATTTTATAGCTAGATTTAAACGTTTAGTCGTCTAACAAAACTTTAACAAAGTTTCAATCTTCATCTTCAAATCTAACTACCTAAAGACTGGTTTAATGTATGTTTCAAATCTTCATCTTCAAGGCTTCAATATTTGTCATCTTCAAAGCTTCAATATTTGTTTCCTCTCATCGTGGTTTTAGGTCCTTTTTTTTATAAAGTTGAAGCAACTCCTGCTGTAATTCTTGGCTAGATTTTGTGGTTACTGAAAATCAACCTGAGTTTGTGGTTATTAAAAATTAATTTAGAATAATAGAATGGTTCTTTGCTATATTTTATCTATTTGTAGTTGTTATACATTTAAGATTTGTTGTTTGTTGAGTAATTGAACTTTTGAAATTATGGGATTTGTAGGGAAGAACAAGTGGGAAGCTGTATTTTATCTGTTTGTAGTTGTTTTATATTTAAGATTTGTTGTTTGTTGAGTAATTGAGCTTTTAAAATTATAGGATTTGTAGGGAAGAATAAATGGGAAGCTGTAGAAGCTATAAAGAAGATTGTTAAAAAATCCCTACAGGTTTGAATATAGATTTTCAGTTCAGTTTCAGTGGAACATCTGATATACGAAGTTCTATGGGTTTTGATATGAAAATAAACCTTTCTTCTAGGGGAGTAAAAAAATAAAAAAAATAACTAAATTAAAAAAACTAGAAAAAAAATAATTGAAAAAATTGAATCGTGAAAAAAAAATCATTAAACCAATTAGATTTTTTTAAAAATTGATCGGTTTGGTTTAATTTTGATTGAATAAAAAAAAATCAAATTAGACCAAACTTATTTAATTAAAAAAAAATATTATAAAAACCTTTTCTAAAATTTTGACCTTAGCATCCTCCCTCCTTTCGCATCCAGTAGCCCCCTCAAAAAGCCCTGCCAAAACTCTCAAATCTCAATCTCTCACACTCTCAACCTAATAAAAAATAAATTCTTCTCACTTTGCAAAACTTTATAGCCAGATTTAGACCTTTAGTGTCTAATAAAACTTCAACAAGGCTTCAATCTTCATTTTCAAATCTAACTATTTAGAGACTGGTTTAATATATGTTTCAAATCTTCATCTTTAAGGCTTTAATATTTGTCATCTTCAAAGCTTCAATATTTGTTTCCTCTCATTGTGGTTTTGGGTCCTTTTTTTATAAGGTTGAAGCAACTCCTACTGTAATTCTTGACTATATTTTGTGGTTACTAAAAATCAACCTGAGTTTGTGGTTACTAAAAATTGATTTAGAATAATAGAATGATTTTTTATTGTATTTTATTTGTTTATAGTTGTTATACATTTAAGATTTGTTATTTGTTGAGTAATTGAACTTTTGAAATTACAGGATTTGTAGGGAAAAACAAGTGGGAAGCTATATTTTATCAGTTTGTAGTTATATATTTAAGATTTGTTGTTTGTTGAGTAATTGAGCTTTTGAAATTATAAGATTTGTTGTTTGTTGAGTAATTGAACTTTTGAAATTATAAGATTTGCAGGGAAGAACAAGTGGGAAGCTGTAGATTTTTACAAAAACTAAACCAAACCGTTTCCAAATTAAAATTTTCAGTTTTTTAAAATTTTATTTTAGTTATTTTTTAAATAAAAATCAAACCGAAGTAAAAATAATAATGATGCAAAAACCGTAATGAACATGTTACAGGTGCAAGCATTGCTGTTCTCTTCGTTCTAATGATGCAAAACCGTAATGAAAAACGCAGTGCTTTCTGTCTATTGGAATCCAAGACAATCTCAAAAGAGCGAGGGAGAGGACTGGAAATTTTTTTTGCAAACCCAATGGTTAGATTCATTTCGAGGAAGAAAACAAGGCCCCTGAATAAATAAACCCAATGGTTAGATTCATTTCGAGGAAAACAAAGCCCCAGAATAAAAATGATCACCGCCGAGATAGTAACTTAAATTTGCAGTTCCCTCAAAGGCAGTAGTTCAAAGAACATTCATTGAGATTCAATGCCACAAAATTTGGACAAAGCAAATGTTGATTTGTGTCAGGTGTCATATTCCGATAAATCTTGAAAACAAATCGAGCTGGCCAAAGACAAGGCATTCATGCAAGCATAACAAAGGTGCCAAACATAACAAAAGGTATAATAGAAAAATAGTTCTCAAAATACATTAAAGAAAAACAAACATGACATTGGAGTCCTAACAAACTGCACTGCTCCTAACAAAACTGTCAACAGTACGCTTGGTATCACTTTGCTCATCAGAACAAATAGCTACCAAAAACACAGATTTATATGATCCCAATCTTGTTTGCCACATCTAAGGCATCATAATCAGGAGTCAACCTGACGTATGCCTTCTTAGTTCCATCAGGCCTGCATTAAAATAGATATAGTTAGTGCCACTTTCAAAATCAAATTAAGCGAGATGAGATGAGATGAGCAGAGTTAAGATCCTGGCAGATCATCAATCATGAAACTTGAATTCTGTATGGAGTTGTATAAGATGATTCACCAGTCAAATTATATGGTTGAGGTGTCAGAATTACTAATTCACAAGAATGGAGTAATGTAATGTACAACTACATGTCACATTACAGGATACCAATTCTAAAACTTGCCTCTTTGAGCAGTTACAAGAGGCAAGAATATTCATCAGGATCAGACCAGCAACAGTCACCTTATCATAAATGTAAAACGTCAAAACGTCTTGGTTTCAAGTAACTAAGATTTACCTGATCAAAGTATTCACTTTCTTGGTCTGAATGTCGTACATCTTCTTAACTGCATCTTTAATTTTCTTCTTGTCTGCACGAATGTCAACAATGAACACCAGGGTATTGTTGTCTTCAATCTTTTTCATTGCAGACTCAGTAGTAAGTGGATACTTCAGAATCTGATAGTGGTCCAGCTTATTTCTAGGTGTTGCACTGATACGTGGATACTTGGGATTTCTCTCCTTCTTCAATGTCCTGGGACGGTGAAATGTAACCTTTGTCCGGATCTTCTTTGTTTTCTTGAATGTTGGCCCTGATTTCACAGCCCTGGCAGCCTTCTGGGCTTGTGCCTTTGGACCAGGCTTTCTGGATGCATCAGCTGAAATGGCATAGACAATAAGTTTCTCAATCAATACATTCCTCAACTAGAAGAGATGTAAAATAACCAAAAACTTTCCATTTACAGATTACAAAATCAGCACCTCATAGCTCAATTCCTTCATCAAACCATAAATTCACAACGAACAAACAAGCAACATGGTTTCAAAACAAAAAGGGAACAACTAGAAAACCATCAAAATTAATTAGCGAATATAAACCAAGAACAACGTAAAATCACAACAAAGACAGAGGCCACTACTATCACACAGATTAACACGTGTGAATATAAATTAAAACAGTTAGCAAAAAGAGAGTAAGAAACAAACGTACCTTTAGCCGGAGACATTGCAGCAACCACTTCACAGACACCACTAAACCTGATAATAAAAACCCAAAACCAAAACTTCAGTATCAAAAAAAGTAACCCCATAAACTGAAACATTATAAAAGAAAATACCCTTATAACAACTTGAGTTCATTTCAGGATAAAAAGCAGAGTTTTGGATTTGATAAAAACCGGCACGTAGGGTTCCATAGAGAACACCAAATAAAAGTGATGGTGGAGAGACAACAGAGATGAGATGACAGACCTTAATTGCTGCAGCTGTGAACTAGGGTTTTTCGCAAGCGGGGAGAGATGGAGAGATGGTGCCTTATATAATTTTCCATAATTACTAAGTTAACCTACTTAGTTATGGGTTGGGCTGGGCACTGATGAGAAGTGTTGTTAATGGGCTTAAATTAAGATTTTTTTAAATGGGCTTGATTTTAAACCCCATAACTAATCCATCTGGTTTCATTTTTTTTTTTAAATGAACACGCTGTTTGGAATAAATTTTGAAATTTTTTTTGTTTAACTTTTTATATTATTTTATTAATGGGCTTAAATTACGATTTTTTTATAAATGGGCTTGATTTTAAATTCAATAACTAATCCATCTGGTTTCAAATATTTTTTTTTTAACTCAATAGTCTGTTCGGAATAAAGTTTTAAAATTTATTTTATATATTTTATATTATTTTAATAATAAATATTTTTTAAAAAATAAAAATATTTTTTAATATATTTTTATATAAAAAATAATTTAAAAAATAATTATTATAATGTTTTTAAACACTATGTTATTCCCATTGAGTTTGGTATTGTTATAATTTTTATAGTTGTGATTTGAAAAATATTTTTAATTAAGATTGGTTTGGTAAAATATATATCTTATTAAAACTATGATTAAAATTAAGGTCGAATACAAAATAATTTAATGTGTTTAGTTAAGAATACTTTTAAATTTAAAATTAGAAAATAATTAAAAATATGTTAATATTGATAGTTTTTAATTGAAACACTGTAAATTTAACTACTAATATTATATCATGAAATAAATAATATTTTACATACAATTCTATTACAAACAAAATTCATCTCACAAAGATTATAGTTTTTATGGCTTTTTAAGTTTACAATAACATCAAGTAAAATATTATCAGAAATAAAATTATAATTATAATTAAATTATATAAATGTTATGTCATTATGTGATTTTTTTCTAATGTAATTATATAGTGTTATTAAATAATATTAAGTAATAATTTTTAGTTTAAATACAATGTTTAAGATATATGTTTTTAATTTTTTTACCTTACTAAATCGAACCGATTTCAATGCATTTAAATTTCCATAAACTGTTGAGACGCTTTCTACTATTATGCAAAGTGAACAACTCTCCACTCCCTTTGCAGAACAATAAAGACGAGGAAATGCAACAGAGTTAATTCACTCTACACAAAACCACCAGTACTCTGGTTATCGGAGTTAACTTGCTTGGAGGCCGTGGTGGTTTTGTTTGCACCAATAAACCTCACTTCTCGATTCATTGAACATCTGCAAACATTACAAATGGCGTTAAGACTGTCTGTCGTAGATAGGCATTTGCATGGACCAGAGGACTGTAAAGCTTCGGGTGTGGAGTCTTTGCACTGGTGCAAGGCAGCAAGAAACGCATTTTGGACACTTGGTTTGCAAGTGAGGCTTTAGAATCGAATATTTATTTAGATGTCTGTGAGTAAGTTTCGTTGGGCTCTCGTGCAGATTTCCAAGGAGGAATTTGTGCTTGAGGCAAAGCAAACAAGTTAAGATAAACATTTCTGATTTATAATAAAATTTTTGACTTCGTACAACACAAAGAAATGTAGACGAGGAGGGGAAACTATCATTCCATCGTATTCTCATTTCACAAAACTCAAAATAAAGCAACAGTGAAAGATAAATGAAAGAAGACAAAAGCAACAAAGAAAAAACAAAAGAAAACGTCAAGCATATTCAAAAGGAAGACGAATGATCATCATTGCAGTCCAAAAACAAAATCAAATTTCTCCAACTTATTTTCTAATTACATCCTCACAGACATAGTAAATTTAGAAATTGAAGAACACGCATCAACTCCTTTTTCTCTAATTCGATACTGGCTCGCCAACTCTCTCCTTAATTCAGCTTTGGAAGGAAAACAGCAGTGAGAGCATCCTTCGACAAAAGAGAAGCTTTCAACAATTCAAGACCCTGAAAGTTATAAAAGAACAGGGGACACAGAAAGGAGCATAGACGTAGTATAAACTATCGTTAGACAACAACAAAAAACTACAACGAACAATACAAGACAGAGTTCAAAACAAGCAGTACCTCATTGATCCCAAGTTCAACAACTTTCTCCTCAAGCACACCAAAATCCTTGATATCGAACTTGTTTAGCAGACCAACACCAGACACCATTGACATTGGAAAGACGGACAAATCACCTGTCACCATGTAAGTGACCAGGCCCTTCACGTAACCTCCCCGCTCACTAGTTGGCCTATCTGTGGAAGTGGAATCATTCGCGGCAGCAAACTCCACTTCTTCACTGAGATGACGGAGATTACCGTAGCCTTGTGACCTGCAATGACTACAAACAGAGTTGTGAATACCTGACACGTACCCTGGATGGCTTGAGCAATAGTAAAACTTCCGGTCTTCCGGCTTTTTAGTGTCAGGAAGCAAGAAATTTGGATTGGTGACCTGGGTTGTTATAGTTGGTTTCAAAATGGAATCCTTGTTTTGGTTAGGCTGCAGGTACGATTCATCCAGCTTTTCAAGGCTCTCGTAAAGATTTGCTATGCAGCCAGTCATGGTTGATTTTGTGAGGAGCCGAATGACGGTACCCACAGGCAGAGCAAGCAGGCTAAGGAGGAAATCTACAAAGTCTTTCCCTGCTTCAGCAAAGACGACTTTGTTGTGTTTTGAATCAATAAGAAGCTTCAAGCTCATTTTGGAGGCTGCCATTGTTAGCTACTTTGATGATCACTGACAAGTTGGTTTTGTTTTTGTTGACGACTTGAAAGCGAAGGTATTAATATATAGAGAGGAAAAGATTCGATCAGGAGGCTTCAGTGCATGGGGATTTAATGGAAGCGCCTGAAAGACTTCGAGGCCAAGCAAGCACCAAAGGAAGACTTCAATGCTAAGTATGGTGCAGGAACATGTTTTTAAATTATGGTTTCGGACACAACACTGTTGTTATGTAAATAGGCTAATTGGTTTATTTTCTTCCTTTAAATTTTTTGCTATTGCATTATTTAATTTCATTCATTTATTTTTTCAAAAAATTAATTTATTATAAAAAAAATTAATTATTCTTTACTCTTTAAGCAAGCAAATCAAGTGGTTTTTACATGTACTTTTTTCTAGTTTTTTTTAACAGAACTCGATGTTGATCTACCAAAAAAAATGATGTTGCTCACTAAAAAAAATAGTTCAGAATATACTAAATAAAAATAGGTTACAGATTATTTTTTTTGCTGACCCAACACCAATTTTGTTGACCCTGCACCAGAATTTATTGAAAATATATCTTATCCTGACTATTTTTATTTTAAAAAAATTCATATTGAGAAACAAAATTATAACATACATATTCTATTTACTTTTCATGGGTTTGCAAGGTTTTCCTGCGTACAAAATAGATGTTTTTTTACAGTAATTTTGAGAAAAGGGAAATTAAACTTGTAAAGTAGCATTGTGCATGACCCCACCATTATTACATGTTTACCAATAGTAAGGAAGGAGATGTCATAAAGGGGGGACCTTTTATTTCTAGTCCTAAAGTGTTTGTTTCTTATGGTCACATCCAACGGTGACCATTAACCTTTTTTATGGACGGTGCTGAACATGGCAGAAGCTAAGTGCGTGGCGTGCAGCTGTCATTTGTTTAGGATGGCCATTTCTTGCTCTTGAACTTTTAAGAATTATCACTCAATTTTCCTTTTCAATTATTATGCTTTATTTCATGTCACTTACATCATATTTCATCTCAATAATATCGCTTTTTTAATATAAAATACCAGCTCCTAAAAACATCTTAAGCTTTGTTATTCTTTTCATGGAACTCGAGCAAAAATCGACGGTGCTAACATAAGTTTATTAATGGGCTTAAATTACGATTTTTTTATAAATGGGCTTGATTTTAAATTCAATAACTAATCCATCTGGTTTCAAATATTTTTTTTTTAACTCAATAGTCTGTTCGGAATAAAGTTTTAAAATTTATTTTATATATTTTATATTATTTTAATAATAAATATTTTTTAAAAAATAAAAATATTTTTTAATATATTTTTATATAAAAAATAATTTAAAAAATAACTATTATAATGTTTTTAAACACTATGTTATTCCCTTTATCAAAGTACTTTTTTATTATTATTAAACCTAGAACTGGTTAATGCATTAATGAATTTGGTATTGTTATAATTTTTATAGTTATGATTTGAAAAAAATTATTTTATCAAAAATATTTTTAATAAAGATTTATTTGGTAATATATATATATATATTATTAAAACTATAATTAAAATTAAGGTCGAATATAAAATAATTTAATGTGTTTAGTTAAGAATACTTTTAAATTTAAAATTAGAAAATAATTAAAAATATGTTAATATTGATAGTTTTTAATTGAAACACTGTAAATTTAATTACTAATATTATATCATGAAATAAATAATATTTTATATACAATTCTATTACAAACAAAATTCATCTTACAAAGATTATAGTTTTTATGGCTTCTTAAGTTTGCAATAACATCAGGTAAAATATTATTAAAAATAAAATTATAATTATAATTAAATTATATAAATGCTATGTCATCATGCGATTTTCTTCTAATGTAATTATATAGTGTTATTAAATAATATTAAGTAATAATTTTTAGTTTAAATACAATGTTTAAGATATATGTTTTTAATTTTTTTACCTTACTAAATCGAACCGATTTCAATGCATTTAAATTTCCATAAACTGTTGAGACGCTTTCTACTATTATGCAAAGTGAACAACTCTCCACTCCCTTTGCAGAACAATAAAGACGAGGAAATGCAACAGAGTTAATTCACTCTACACAAAACCACCAGTACTCTGGTTATCTGAATTAACTTGCTTGGAGGCCGTGGTGGTTTTGTTTGCACCAATAAACCTCACTTCTCGATTCATTGAACATCTGCAAACATTACAAATGGCGTTAAGACTGTCTGTCTAGATAGGCATTTGCATGGACCAGAAGGATTGTAAAGCTTCGGGTGTGGAGTCTTTGCACTGGTGCAAGGCAGCAAGAAACGCATTTTGGACACTTGGTTTGCAAGTGAGGCTTTAGAATCGAATATTTATTTAGATGTCTGTGAGTAAGTTTCGTTGGGCTCTCGTGCAGATTTCCAAGGTGGAATTTGTGCTTGAGGCAAAGCAAACAAGTTAAGATAACAATTTCTGATTTATACTAAATTTTTTGACTTCGTACAACACAAAGAAATGTAGACGAGGAGGGGAAACTATCATTCCATCGTATTCTCATTTCAAAAAACTCAAAATAATGCAACAGTGGAAGATAAATGAAAGAAGACAAGCATAATAAAGCAACAAAGAAAAACAGATGAAATGGTCAGGCATATTCAAAAGGAAGATGAATGATCATCATTGCAGTCCAACAACAAAATTAAAGTTCTCCAACTTATTTTCTATTTACTTCCTCACAGACATAGTAAATTTAGAAATTGAAGAACACGCATCAACTCCTTTTTCTCTAATTTGATTATTCTGGCTCGCCATCTCTTTCCTTGATTCGGCTTTGAAAGGAAAACAGCAGTGAGAGCATCCTTCGACAAAAGAGAAGCTTTCAACAATTCAAGACCCTCAAATTTATAAAAGAACAAGGGACAAAGAAAGCAGCATAGACGTAGTATAAACTATCGTTAGAAAACAAAAAGAACTAGCATGAACAATACAAGACAGAGTTCAAAACAAGCAGTACCTCGTTGATCCCAAGTTCAACAACCTTCTCCTCAAGCACACCAAAATCCTTGACATCGAACTTGTTTAGCAGACCAACACCAGACACCATTGACATTGGAGAGACGGACAAATCACCTGTCACCATGTAATGACCAACACCAGAGTTCATCACGTTCTATATTACATGGAAATCCTTTAATCAGCAGATTGTTGCAAGTCCAGCACAAGAATCCAAATAGCAAAGCAGTGTCGATTTTCAGGAATTGGTGAGGAAGACGCGTGACGCGCGTACGGCGCGTTTGTGCGCATTCTTTAGTTCTATCTGTAGCAGGACTACAGATCATTGCTGATTGACCATGCTTGATATGTAATTTATTCATATATTGCGAAGCTCAATTCTTATTACTATTTTCCATTTCCTCAAAACATCTCGAGTTCAATCTTCTCCTCTCTCTCTCTATATATATATATATAAAAAACTAATAAATGTCTTGCATGTGCACTAAAACATCTCCAATGCCAAAGGTCAAGTACTCTGTAAATGAGTATGCACAGAATCTTGTAATAACAGGCAGGTGAGTCTGTTCCTAACCTCATCAATATTAAAATAAACAGTGCCCAACTTGTTAGGCCGTGTAAAAGGACATACTGTGCCATCTTCCATCCGCACCTATACTTCCAACAATTTGCCAATTCTCTCCAACCGAAGCTACTCAAGAATCAAGGATATCTTTTTCCAGTTTTCGTGGCTAGAAACCAAAATCTGCAGTATTGGGCTTGACTTCCACTTGCCTTTTCGGCTAATCTAAAGTCTTGACATAAGGCCCATCATTCCATCGTATTCTCATTTCAAAAAACTCAAAATAATGCAACAGTGGAAGATAAATGAAAGAAGACAAGCATAATAAAGCAACAAAGAAAAACAGATGAAATGGTCAGGCATATTCAAAAGGAAGATGAATGATCATCATTGCAGTCCAACAACAAAATTAAAGTTCTCCAACTTATTTTCTATTTACTTCCTCACAGACATAGTAAATTTAGAAATTGAAGAACACGCATCAACTCCTTTTTCTCTAATTTGATTATTCTGGCTCGCCATCTCTTTCCTTGATTCGGCTTTGAAAGGAAAACAGCAGTGAGAGCATCCTTCGACAAAAGAGAAGCTTTCAACAATTCAAGACCCTCAAATTTATAAAAGAACAAGGGACAAAGAAAGCAGCATAGACGTAGTATAAACTATCGTTAGAAAACAAAAAGAACTAGCATGAACAATACAAGACAGAGTTCAAAACAAGCAGTACCTCGTTGATCCCAAGTTCAACAACCTTCTCCTCAAGCACACCAAAATCCTTGACATCGAACTTGTTTAGCAGACCAACACCAGACACCATTGACATTGGAGAGACGGACAAATCACCTGTCACCATGTAATGACCAACACCAGAGTTCATCACGTTCTATATTACATGGAAATCCTTTAATCAGCAGATTGTTGCAAGTCCAGCACAAGAATCCAAATAGCAAAAAAGGAAATTCAGTGGCAATGTGCTGATCTTTAGTTCTATCTGTAGCAGGACTACAGATCATTGCTGATTGACCATGCTTGATATGTAATTTATTCATATATTGCGAAGCTCAATTCTTATTACTATTTTCCATTTCCTCAAAACATCTCGAGTTCAATCTTCTCCTCTCTCTCTCTATATATATATATATAAAAAACTAATAAATGTCTTGCATGTGCACTAAAACATCTCCAATGCCAAAGGTCAAGTACTCTGTAAATGAGTATGCACAGAATCTTGTAATAACAGGCAGGTGAGTCTGTTCCTAACCTCATCAATATTAAAATAAACAGTGCCCAACTTGTTAGGCCGTGTAAAAGGACATACTGTGCCATCTTCCATCCGCACCTATACTTCAACCGAAGCTACTCAAGAATCAAGGATATCTTTTTCCAGTTTTCGTGGCTAGAAACCAAAATCTGCAGTATTGGGCTTGACTTCCACTTGCCTTTTCGGCTAATCTAAAGTCTTGACATAAGGCCCACTGGAAGGCTACAGCTAGCAAGTTAGTGAAACAATGATTTCCGCATGATTAGAGTTAAATTAAGTGTTTATTCTCTTTTATCACCCTCATTTTTGTGATTGTTATTTGTGGAAAAATTGATTGCAAGGCACAATATAAAACACTGAAAGATGGAATTGTCATGCTGTAGTCGATAACCAGGGCTGTAAAGAAACAGAACTAAACAAACTCTACTTGTCAAAAATGGAAGGGATGAGAACTTAACACAATCACTAAAATACAGAAAACATCCACCCCAACAAGATGGGAATTGCTAGACAGATCCCGCTGGTCACATCAACTTCTTCTTCCTTTTTCGTGCTGCATAATTCTGGAAGTCCTGCTGCTGTTTTACATCAGAAAGAACTGTCTGACTTTGGACAAGCCTTGTTCTCTATTTTGGTGGATCACAATATCTAACCTTCTGCCTTATCCAGAAAACAGCAGTCAGAGCATCATTTGACAAAAGAGAAGCCTTCAACAATACAATAGCCTGAAATACGTAGAAGAACAAGGACCAAGAAAAAAGCAGTGTAAAAAAAAGGGCAAACGTAGTAAATTTAAAAACTGAAGATCGCACATCAACTCCTTTTTTTCTCATTTGATACTAGCGCACCATCCAAGTCCTTAATGCAGCTTTGGAAGGAAAGCAGCAGTGAGAGCATCCTTTGACAAAAAAGAAGCTTTCAACAATTCAAGACCCTGAAATGTATAAAAGAACAAGGGACAGAAAAGGCAGCATGGACATAGTATAAACTATCGTTAGATTACAACAAAAACTACCGTGTTAAAATTGAACAGTCCAAGACTGAATAACATTTAAAAAAAAACATTGTACCTCATCGATCCCAAACTCAACAACCTTCTCCTCAAGCAAAATAAAATCCTTGATTTCGATCTTCTTTAGCAGACCAACAACGGACACCATCGACACTGGAGACACTGACAAATCATCTGTCACCATGTAAATGACCAGGCCCTTCACGTAACCTCCGGCCTGATCACTAGCTGGTGTATCTGTGGAGGCGGAGACATTCGTACGCACGAACTTTACTTCTTGATTCATATAACGAGTACCATAGTCTTGTGACCTGCAATGACTACAAACAGAGTTGTGAATATCTGACACGTACCCTGGATGGCTTGAGCAATAGTATAACTTCCGGTCTTCAGGCTTTTTAGTGTCAGGAAGCAAGAAATTTGGATTGGTGACCTGGGTTGTTATAGTTGGTTTCAAAATGGAATCCTTGTTCTGGTTAGGCTGCAGGTACGATTCATCCAGCTTTTCAAGGCTCTCGTAAAGATTTGCTATGCAGCCAGTCATGGTTGATTTTGTGAGGAGCCGAATGACGGAACCCACAGGCAAAGCAAGCAGGCTAAGTAGGAAATCCACAAAGTCTTTCCCTGCTTCAGCAAAGACGACTTTGTTGTGTTTTGAATCAATAAGAAGCTTCAAGCTCATTTTGGAGGATGACATTGTTAGCTACTTTGATGATCACTGGTTTTGTTTTTGTTGGCGACTTGAAAGCAAAGGTTTCAATATGTAGCGAGGAAAAGACTCTATCAGGAGGCTTAAGTGCTAGAGGATTTTATGGAAGCACCTGGAAGGTTTCTAGGCTAAGCATGCACCAAAAGAAGACTTCGATGCTAAGTTGTAAGGTATGGTGAGACGAAGCCCACTACATGGTCAAAAATACTCTAACACAGTTAAAAAACAATCATGAAAATAACAAAATATAAAAAATAAAATCTTCACAAATTACAAGGATAAGATAAGAATGAAAAAAATACCATAAAGATAACTCTACTGATATTATTAAAAAAGTTTCCAACCATACAATTTTAACAAAATAAAAAAAAAATCGCTAATCTTTCAAAAAAGATACTAACCATCCAAAAATAAGCAAGCTCATCTATTTTTTGTATACTTCGTGTGATCCATTTAATTTATTTTTATTAATTTTATTTGATTAAATAAATTTATTTTGTTAAGCTTTTTTTGATGAAAGTAGTGGTGTTATTATTAAAATTTTGATATACTTAAAAATTTTTATTGTAAATTGTATTGGATATTTAACAATTTAAAAAGAGTGGTGTATCACTTATAATTTACAACTTTTTAAATTGTGTTACTTTTTTAAATAATTTTTGAATTTTGAAGACAACAAATGGAGTCAGCATCATGCTGGCAACACCTTTCTGCACCCAAAGTTTGCTGAAATTATGGCTAGGATTGTGGCATAAAATGGAAAGTTAACATATAAAATTAAAATAAATGATGAAATTAAAAAATTGAGGTAAAATAGTATATTCTTGAATATCACGGTTTCAAACCGTGATATTAATTTATTCTTCATGAGAGATATATAATTATATTATGAAATGACAAATAATTGCTTAATTGTTCTTCCCACTAATTTCTTGATTTCAGCAGCGAAAGTTATTTTTTGTTTGTGTACTCTCAGGGTAGAAAAGGAAGTGTATAATTTAATATAAAAACATACACAGTGCAAAATTAATTATTTAAACTCTTTTTTAATCATTGAAAAATTACTATGAAAAAAATAAAGTCTCTAAAATAAAATTAATAGATATTGTGGCCGGAAACCACAACATTAATTAAAATTATATGGCAATTCTAGTCATGATACTAATTAAATGTAATGGTTGGAAACCACTCGTCAAAAAAAATATGACATTTCAAAAAAATATGAGATTTAAAAATATATTATTTTATCAAACTTGTTAAATTTTTGTATTATTTCATAATTTATTTTATTTATGTGTTGTCACGACCCGAATCCCGGATCCATGACCGATATATAGGCAAGGTTTCCCTCCAAGATTTCATACCTATGTGAACCCAAATTTACATATAAATTTACCCTAACTCAATCAGAGTGCAACGCAGCATTAATAACAAAATCAACTTCATAATATAATTGAATTGTCTTAATACAAGAGTTAATATAATTTCATAGTTTTTGAGCACTAATTAGATATAAAAGAAAATGTACGAATTACAACAAAAAAAACAGAATAGTTTTGAAGCACTAATTAGGCATAAAAGAAAATGTACGAATTACAAAAAAAAAAATAGGTTCTGAAGGTCCAACAAAAATGATCTGCTATCA